CCAAATGGCATTACATTGTAGCAGTAGGTACCATATTTAGTGATGAACAAAGTATTTTCCTGATCATCTGGGTTCATTTGTATTTGGTTGTACCCGGAGAAGGCATCGAGAAAATTGAGGATCTAGTGGCCGGCCGTTGCATCGATCATGCGATCGATATTAGGCAAAGGAAAAGAATCCTTGGGGCATGCTTTAATTAGATCCTTGTAATCTACACATATTCTAAGTTTGTTTTCTTTTTAAGGGACTACTGCCACGTTTGCTAACCATTCGGTGTATTTTACCTCACGGATGGACCCTATTTTAAGAAGCTTGGTTACCTCGTCTTTGACGAAAGCATGTTTGACCTCGGACAGGGGTCTTATTTTTTGCATCACCGGATGGAACTTCGGGTTCAAGCTTAGTTTATGGGTGGTGATTTCCTAAGGGATCCTTGTCATGTCAAGATGGGACCAAGCGAAACAATACATGTTAGCTATAAGAAATTGAATAAGCTTTTTCCTGAGCTAGGAATTTAACCCCGTGCCCAGGTATACCTTTCGTTTGGGCAGATGTTCAATTAGTATGATTTACTCCAACTCTTCGACCATTGATTTGGTAGCGTCAGAATCATCGGGGACTATGAAGGATCGAGGGATCCCATAATCATCATCTTCGTTAGTCCCCTGCTTCACTAGTTGGGTCGAGGCCATCATTTGTAATTGCTATTTGGTCTCCTGTTTTCCCTTCAAATTTGACCCCTTCATTGATGAGAGTGACGACATAGGAATCACTTCTTCAACGGCAAACATTTCTTTTGCGGCGGGTTGCTCCCCGTATATTGTTTTGATTCCCTCGGGTGTTGGGAATTTCAGAACTTAGTGAAGGGTCGAGGGCAATGCTCTCATGTTGGGGATCCATGGTCTCCCGAACAGGGGTTATACCTCATGTCACCCTCGATCACATGGAACTTTGTCTCTTGGATGGTCCCGGCCACGTTCATTGGCAAAGTTATCTCGCCCTTAGTAGTTTCACATGCCATGTTGAATCCGTTTAGTACTAGGGCTGCGGGCACAATTTGGTTCTGTAGGCCGAGTTGTTCTACGACCCTCGATCGAATGATGTTGGCCGAACTACATGGATCAATCAACACATGTTTAACTCGAGTTTTATTCATGAGTATAGAAATTACCAGTGCATCATTATATGATTGTATGATTCCCTCTGCGTCTTTGTCGTTGAAGGATAAAGTTCCTTCTGGTGTGTAATCTCGAGCCCGTTTTTCCATTGTGATTGATACTTTTGTGCATTTTATCATTGGACCTTGAGGAACATCGACCCCTCCGATGATCATATGAATGATGTGTTGGGGCTCGTCTTGTTCACCCTGTTTATTGGAATCTCTGTTCCTGAAATAATTCTTAGCTCTGTCGCTCAGAAATTCTCGAAGATGCCCGTTATTGAATAACCAGGTTACTTCTTCTCTCAATTATCGACAATCCTTCGTTCTGTGGCCATGTGTACCATGGTATTTGCATATCTGGTCGGGATCCCTTTGTGTAGGATCGGTTTGTAAAGGCTGAGGCCATTTAGTGTCTTTGATGCTTCCGATAGCCGATACAATGGCGGATGCATCGACATTGAAGTTATATTCTGACAATCATAGTGCTTCTTTAGGTCCGGTATGTCTGTCAAAACCGTTCTTGCTTATGAACACTCGATAGCTTTGGCCTCGATCATTTCTCCTTTAATTTCGCATAGGGTTGCGCCCAAGTCTGTTGCCTCTACGCTCTCCATTATACGCCTGATATCGATCCCTGTTCGATCTTGGTTCTCGATTGATATCCCTCTTAATTCTATCGACGGATCTGATAGGATAAACTGACCCGGGCAGAGCCCCGAGTTGGTCATTTTCGACCCTGATCTTCGATTGATATCGATTATGGACATCGGCCCAAGTGACAGCCGGGTATTCTATCAAATTTTGCTTCAACTGCTGCGAAGCCACCGAACTTCGAATATTGAGTCCTTGGGTGAAATCTTGAACTGCCCAATCGTCGGCGACCGGTGGTAGGTCCATTCGTTCCATTTGGAATCGGGATACGAATTCTCTGAGTATTTCGTTCTCCTTTTGTTTTACCGATTTTCTAGTTTCGACCTTGATGGCTCTGGCGTGTGCCTTTACGAAAGAGTCTGCAAGCATAGCAAAAGAATCAATAGAGTTAGGTGGTAAATTATGGTACCATATTATTGCTCCCCTTGACAGGGTTTTCCCAAATTTCTTTAGTAATACGGATTCGATCTCGTCATCCTCTATATCATTCCCTTTAATGGCACATGTGTAAGAGGCGACACGCTCGTTGGGGTCGGTCGTTCCATTATACTTAGAAATCTTGGGCATGCGGAACTTCTTGGGGATCAGTTTGGGAGCCACGCTCGGGGGGAAGAGCTTTTGTACGAATTTTTTGGAATCCAAACCCTTCAATATTGGTGGTGCCCTCGGGATCTGATCAACCCTGGAGTTATAAGTTTCCACTTTTTTGTCGTTTGCTTCGACCTTCTTTTCCCCTGACTTTTTTGTCGGTGCCTGGGTTTGGCTCTGCAACTGAGCTATCGCCACCTGTTGAGCTTGCAACATTTCGAAGATCATACACAGGGTGATCCCATCTTCTCCAATATTTTGGGTATTTCGAACTACAGATCGGGTTCCACCATGGATGCTGTTTTCAGGACCGGAATGTTGGTTTGCTTCGATGGCCATATGCGAATTAACGTCAACTGGATCCACGGCCCAAGTCCTAACGGGGTCAGCGGGTGGTCTTTCATCCCCGGGCGTCACGTTGTTATTTTCGCCTTGATGGCCAGATTCGTTGTCGATATGTAGGGGCATTAATTGATAGTTCGTCATTTTTAGCCTGAAATCAAATATACTTCCAAGAGAAAGTATAAAATAGTGTGTTTACAGAGATTTGTATCAAATGACCACTATTATCCTTAGCCCCACGGTGAGCGCCAAACTGTTTACCCGAAAAACGGATAACAATTAAATTTATATGCGGTTCTAAGGATACGTGGTATAATTTGATACAAGTTGAGAAAATATATAAATGAATATCGAAATTAACTGTAAAAGAAATGAATGCAATTTGAATGAATTAATTAGCCTAGGTCCCCAAGTTTGATCACCCTCAAACTGAATGGAGAGTAAACTGATACAAGAACAAAATGACTGAATATTGAAAACCAGAAGAAAGGTTGTATATTGCTTTGTATTCTATGAAAAATGAATGTATGAATGTATCCCGCCCCTCTACAAATGATTAGACCTCCTTTATATAGCAGGGAAGTCCTATTCTTAATACAATTTTTCAATACATCAAAGAATCCTATGATAGATTAATTAATTGGCCTCTCCTTGATATGCGTCGTGATTTCCGCCGATATTCTCGCCCAATTGCGGATATTTCGGCTTTCTGTTTTTTGGCTTGATAAGTTTTCCTCGATTTTTGCCGATCTCGACCTCGATCGGTCTCTATTTTTCTCGATCTGGATCTTGGCCGATCTCGATCTTGATCGGTCTCTGGGTATCGAGGTCGGTAACTTACATTCGCATCATGGCTCGATATTACACAAAGTCGAACTTTGATCTATTATGTTTCAATCTCGGTTAGTCATACGAAGGGCAAGCTCGATTTTGATCGTATACAATAGTAGAGTTTATAAATATGCAATATAATAGCTAGTTTTAAGACAACATGAAATCCTACTAATTTGTCATTACTTGTGCATGACACATTTCACCGATTTTGGCTGCTCTTGCCGCCATCTTTGTCGCCCAACCTTATTTTAGTCCGAATTTGTTTCATTAATTTTCGCAATATTATTAATTTCGCGAATAAAATTTTAAGACCAGCTCGATAACAAGCACGTGGATGGACACTTGTACCTTCATATGGACCTATAGAAAATGATAAATAAACATTGCTATCACAGGTGTGTTAATCAACATCGAATGATTAAAGTGTAGTACTAATTTAGGTGCTAAACATGATTATTTGGTAGGTCCTAGCAAAACAAACACAATCCTTTAAGATTTCCTTTGATGACAAGCAACCAAATCTACTTATAATTAAATCAGTGTGTACTTATCCGAATCGCTTTAATAAATAATCAGAAAAGGGTATAAACTACCCTTATCGTTTGTTAAATGATTTATAAATAGCATCCGTTCATCTATTAGTCCAAAATACACACAACATTAATTTTATTAATAAAATTACCCTCGCATTTAACGACAGAATGAATGAGCCTTTCATTTAATGATGTAGCATTTTTTTATTGGGACACGTGACATTTTCAACATAAAATAAAATATGAATCTTATTTCAACCCGTTAACGGATCCGACTCTTGGGTTTGTTACCCGGGTCAAAATATTTACATTAACTTATAAGAATAGCACGCTATTCTTGTTTTTTCCTGTTTAAAAAAAGATTATCTAACTTATACCTAACTATATTCGCCGAAAAGAAATTATAAATTGCATATTATTATTACCTAACCTTCTTATTAATTTAAGCTAGTAGTGTTTTATAGTATTTCTTTAATTTCTTCCCATGGCAACGGACGATGCTTCTGTGTTATTCACTAAACGTCCACTTCAGTTAAATTAACATGATAACATTAGTAATCTACTAATCTTCACATAAAATAACCACTTGAAATATGAAAAGATAGTGTTCTTTCATCTAAAAAAGGGCACCGATCTGCAAATGTCAGGGGGCTTCTATTCTGGGTGTATTGTTGCAAATGATAGGTGTGTTGGCTTTACTAGTTTATATAGCAATCATTGTTTAGACGATCTTTATGTCATCACCCGAAATTCTCAACCTCGAGACCATTATAGCGCCTAATATTTACTTGCTAGGCAAATCGACGTTAATAAATAAATAAACTAATTTTTAACAATTAATACGAAGTAATGACATTTAACGAGAAATAAACTCAGTATTTAACACAATGTGAATAAAAGTAACACGATGCCAACTACTCTTAGAAATTCGGAGTCACAAGTATATGAACAACTAGAATACTACATATATGATCTGGAACAAGGTACAACTGTTTGAAACTAGATAAACAGTAGGATAGATAAAGAAGGAGACTTCAGGGCTGCGGACGCCGTGCAGGTATACCTCAAGTCTCCAACTGTGGCTGAATCCGAGCAGAAAACTACTAGACGCCATTGCGATCAGCACCAGTATGTGCACAAGAAGTGTAGCATGAGAACAACCGACCCAATTATCACGACCCAATTTAGGATCATGACCGACGCTTAGGAGCAAATGCTCCTAAGTAAGCCTCATCAGTATTTTACAGAAAATCGGACAGAGTCTCCCCTGTTTTAGGACTATCCAAAGTTTTTCCGTCTCATAAATAATGTATAATCAACCAATATTCACCTAAACCAACCACAATCTTCATGAACTAAGCAAAACGAGTTTTCACCAACATTACCAACCTTACTAACATAATAATACTTAAACCATCTCAAAAATACGAAAGAAAGTGCAATACTGGTAACTAGTCCTATATAATGAATGAATACTCACGACACTAATAAAAATGACTATGGAGCGACTCTAAGAGTTCAAAAGAAAAGACGATAATAATAAATAAACTCTTCGCCCACACGAACAAGTGCGGGGCTCACCGAAAACTATCAACTCGTGTACTCTAATTAACAAAACCCTTGTTGCGCTAACTGATATCTCTGAAAAAAATAACGGGAAGTGAGTCTCTAGCTCATTGAATAATAACACTTAACCACAACTTTTTTAATTGGGGATAAGTCAGAAAGCATGCTTGTATATTAAATAGAAAATATCATAAGAATGCCCTTTCAGAAACAATATTCAGTCTCATCATGTTTTTCATGTAATAGAAATCAATTTAACAATTCGGTAATGAACTCGGTAAACACTGTGCCATATCAATCTTTATGTTTGAGAGGTTTCCAAGAAAGGATCATGTAATCTGTATTACTGTGTGGACACCTTCGTAAAAGGGAGTCAAATATAACTGTAGGTCCCTACTCGAGGGAAACTATAACTGTATGCTAGTTCTACCTTTCCACTAGCGAGGGTTATAATTTTACTTAGTAATCGGTGAATACAAGGTGCATCAGGTCTAACGAACCCGTCGTTAGCTACGAGATCCTTCAAAGTCTCCTCCTATTTATACTTTTCTTTGTAAGCAGTAAATATTCATAGGAAAGCATTTTCAAAATAGTACATGGCATTTCAATTCTTATCAGATCATGTAATCCCATTTCGGTAATAGTAATCATATCTCAAATAACAGTAAAACATGTCTAGTAACAGTGAGAACATTTTAACTAAATGTAAATATCTCAAGTAAACTATTCAGTACCATATCAAGTAAAGGACTTGTCCCACATGCAATTTCAAACATTCGGTAACAAATATTATTTTTAAAATCATGTATAAACCATGAAGGTTATGAAAATACAAGTTGTACTCACAGTACTCGTGTCGAAATACCAAACTCGTCACCTCAAGCGATCTGTACAACTTTTTTCAATCAATCTATAATTACATCAACATCGATCTCGTGTTAATTTTCTTGTTTAGGCTAATTCATAGCTAATATAAAATACCTAACCCTTGAGGTTTCATATTTGACTCTTAATTCGTCAATTTATACTTACTCGTGCTACTTGTTGTTTAAACCAAATCCAGAAAATCCACCAAATATAACTTATTCATATAATATACTCAGTTAATTCTTGAAAAGGTCTCATGGATTTCTCCCAGTTTCTTTAACTTTATCTTTTAAACTCTTAATCCAATCCCAACATCATCTCTACTTAGTCCCATAAAGAATCATAATATAAATTAATAGTCTTAAAAGAAGAAGAATTACATGAAATTACCTGGATTATATTGTTGAAGTTCAAGAATCTATGTCGATGATAAGGTGAAACACAGTATTCGGTACTAAGAACCCCTGAAACATTTTTTCTTTCTTTCTTTCTTTCTCTGCTTTTGTTTTTGTTTTCTTTTCCCCTGAAGCCTTTCTTCGTTCCCTTCCCCTAAACCCTTTTCAATCTTTTGGGCAGATTGTTTTCTAACGGGCTTCGGCCCTTTTGTTTACATTCTTTCTTTTTTTTTTTATTAGTTTGTTCTTTTCTGTGTTTTTTTTTGGACTTAAATTATTTGCTAAATGTCCAATAAGTCCTCATTTAAAATATTGGGGTATTACATCATTTTCGCCTTATGAAATTCGGTCCTCGAATTTAACTCAAGTGGTGTGCCTGTAGAGTGAGGTAGGTGAAAATACTCGACTCGCATGTCATCATATGACTCCCAAATAACTTATTCAACAATGTTATTTTCTCACTAGACTTTTTGACGTACACAATATCTTTTTGTTGTAACTTCTTTAATTTTCTGTCAACAATAGCTATCTACTCCTCCTCAGAAGATGAGTTTTTATTTGGTTGTATAGTTAGTGTTTCAAGAACATGAAATGACCCTGGCATGTATTTTCGTAATACAAATACATGAAACATCAAATCTGGAGGGAGTGTTATACGATACGTTCGGTCAAGTATCCCATAAGGTCATATAAACCTCGAGCTCAACTTACCTCTTTTTTTAAATCTTATCACGCCCTCCATAAGAGAGACTCGTAGAAATACTTTGTCCCCAATTGTGAACACTAAATCTCTTCTTCTCTTATATGCATAAGATTTTTGTCTTCTTTGATCCGTGAGCAATTTCTGGCGGATCAACTGAACTTTGTCAATAGCTTATTGTACTAAGTTTAGACCCAATAAGTTAGTCTCGCCAGCTTCAAACCATCTGATAGAGGAATGACATCTTTTTACCCAACAAGACTTTGTATAGAGCCATCTGAAATGCTTGACTGAAAGCTGCTGTTATAGGCAAATTCAGCTAAGGCTAGGCAAGCATCCCAACTACCTTTAAAATCGAGAATGCAAGCCCTCAACATATCCCCAAAGATTCGTATATTACATTTAGACTGCTCGTTTGTCTACGGATAAAATGCAGTACCAAGATCTATTGGTGTATCTATTGCTTCTTGAAAAGATTTGCAAAGGTAATGGACAATAGAACCTCTTAAAATCAAACGAATTTCATTCACATACTTTTGTGAATGCCTTTTCCATTGTACATGGTATAACCAACAGAAGGGTGCAAAAGTTGTAAGTCAGTCTATGTATCTAACGGCTTGAGGTAGACCAATCACAAAGTCTTTAGTAACTCTTTACAATTTCTACATCTGGATCTCAAGCTATTCTGGTAGGCTAGCGGATCTATATTCAACCTTAACAAGCTAAATAACTAGAAACAAAATGCAACATTTTTTTCCTTTTTTTTTTTCAATAATACAATTGGTTTAGGTTAAGATACATCTTCAGGGGTCCAGGATATATATATATATATATATATATATATATATATATATATATATATACACACACACACATATACACACAAAGCGGCCCCGCCGCCTCACCCAATGTATGCAGGTAGAGGTGTAAGCACAATACCAAAACTCTACTCAAGCGGCCATGTCATCTCACCCCAATGTATGCAGGTGAAGGTATAATCACAGTACAAAAAACCTACACAAAGCGGCCATACCACCTCACCCCAATATATGCGGGTGAAAATGCATCAACGATACCAATACCTACACAAAGCGACCATGTCGCCTCACCCTAATATATATATGTGGGTGGTGGTGAAACAACAATACCAAAATCATACACAAAGCGGCATTGCCGCCTCACCCCAATGTATGCGGGTGGAGGTGTAATCCCAATCACAATCTTTACATAATTTGGCATAATAATTTCCACATAAATCACCACTTGGAATCATAATATGTAGATACACAATCCATAGTTTGGAACACATCCTCAATTGATAATACAATATGATAATAGCATTTGAAATACGAATTGAACATATATCTTTGTCACAAAACTTATTCAGAATACTCGATTTGTAATGAATATCTTGGAACTTACAAGGGTATTGGGGTTCCAATTCTTAAAGAAGAGTTTAGCCAACATACCTCAATTGAGCTTCCTTAAACTCTAAAATATTCCGAAATTCTTGGCAACTTCAATCTATTTTAGAAATATAACAAGTTGAACCAAATTTAGGGAGATGATCATGGTTCTAGCTCATTTGAGCATTTTATCAAACACTAGGTTTGAATTAACGTTTCAAGGTCCTTTTATAGAGGATTCCATCATCCCACAACCCATTCTTTACCATTTTTAGCTCACAATCTTCCTACACCATTTGATAACACATGCATGCAAAATAAACAACTCCCATCTCCAAGAATTGTCTTTCTATTTACCCATTCTTAGATAAATTTTGAAATTAAGGGCTAGGGTGTAGAATCTTACCTCTAGGATGAAGACCTAGTGAGTTTTTCTTGTTAATCCTCAAAGATTCGAAAAAGAATTGAAGAACAAATTGCTGAAGAACTCTCTCCCACTCTAGAGCACTCTCTAACCCTCAAAATATCAGATTTTAGCTCAAAAATGGTACAAATCGTCTATTTAATGAAGTAGGATCGGGTTATAAAAACTCAAAAATGAAGCTCCGAAACAGGGTATGCGGTCACATATGCGACCGCATAATGCTTATACGATCCGCAGAATAGACCGCATAATTTTTCTCCGGAACTGGGCAAATCTGACTCGGTCCGCGGTCATTATGCGGCCCGCAGACCTGTTCTGCGGTAGCATAATGCACTGCAGACCTGTTCTGCGGTAGCATAATGCACCACAGAACTGGTCTGCGGTCTCATAATGTGCCGCAGAACCTCCATCCGAAAAATCTTAAAGCTGGATATGCGATCAGAGTGCGGCCTGCGAAATGGTTTTGCGGTCGTATAATGGGCCGCAAAAATGACATCAAAAATGGCCCAAAAGACTGTCTCACTCTACTGCCTGCAGAGTGAATATGCGGCCGCATAATGGGCCGCAGAAATGCCCAATTCTGCCAAAAATTTTCCTTTACTCCCTATTGTGTTGTTCAACCTAATTTCTTGAATTTTCCTTTGCATCTCTACTATCATTAACACCTACGCCTATCCCGGCACCACGAAACCTTAAATTCCTTGTGAAATTTCATGGGGCCTTACATTCTCCCCTACTTAAGATCATTCGTCCTCGAATAAGGGTCAAAGTTTACTATTAGCATCTGATGCGACTCAATTTCCTTACCACACACCAGCAGCCCCAAATTTGACTAACTCCCTAAATTTCCAAACTATTTGCTAGAGTTTCCCTTGTAATTGAGCCTATCCATCTGCCAGAGAACCCCAGAAATACATCCTGACAACATATACATAATCCAACGATGTAACATAACACAAAACAACGCCAATTGTGGCCTCCCAAGTAATATATTACCAAAAAAGGAACATCTTTAACATCAATTGTACAAATGATACATAATTTATAGAAGGTAACCCTTAGAATTTTCATAGAACATAACTTTAAAAATACATGGCTATTCAAATAAATGAGGATACTTTTTCTTCATTTCTTCCTCGGCTTCCCAAGTAGCCTCTTCAACCTGTTGGTTTCACCATAACACTTTCACTGAGGCAATTTCTTTATTTCTCAGCTTTTGGACTTGCCGATCAATAATAGAAACTGGAATCTCTTCATATGTCAATTCCTCATTAACCTCAATACTCTCAACCGGAACAATGAGTGTCGGATCTCCAACTACTTTTTTCAACATAGACACATGAAACATCGGGTGTATTAATGACCTCTCAGGTGGTAGCTCAAGCTAGTACGCCACCTCACCGATCCTTTGAATGATTTTGTACGGTCCGACATACCTCGGAATCAATTTCCCTTTCTTACCAAATCGCATTACACCCTTCATGGGGGAAACCTTAAAGAATACCCAATCATCTTCTTTGAACTCAAAATCCCTACGACGAACATCCGAATAGGACTTCTGACAGCTCTGAGCAGTCTTCAACTGCTCCTTAATGATCTTAACTTTTTCCATAGCCTAATGCACGAGGTATGGACCTATCAACTCTACTTTCCCAATTTCAAACCACCCAGTGGGAGATCTACATCTCCTACCATATAAATCCTCGAACGGTGCCATCTGAATGCTAGCATGATAACTATTGTTGTAGGCAAATTCTATGAGTGGCAAATGATCATCCCAGCTACCTTTGAAGTCTAGAACATAAGTGCGCAACATATTCTCAAGCGTATGAATAGTTCGCCCTGCCTCGTCAGTCTGCGGGTGAAAGGTTGTACTAAGATTCACCTGAGTACCCAAACCTTGATGAAATTTCTTCCAAACATTAGCAGTAAATTGTGCTCCCCGATTAGAAATAATGGAAACTGGAGTGCCATGCAACCTGACTATTTTTCTAATATACAACTGAGCATATTGTTCTGCTATGTCGGTAGCCTTAACCGGAAAAAAGTGTGTCGTACCATTATCCAAGCCGAGAGAGAAAGCTATAGTCTTATGTTTATGAATCCCCTCCTTCAATTTCACCAACAATGGATCGTTGTATTGCCTCTCTTTGACTTCCACAACAAGCGATGATTCAGTCCTATTTTGCACAATTACCCCTCCTTCACTAGAGTCTGCAATACAAACTCCCAAACTAGCCAATCGGTGAACTTCCTTGTCCAATGGCCTTTGATATGCCTCCAAGTGAGCCAAACTACCCATAGATTTTCGGCTAAGAGCATCCGCCACAACATTGGCCTTTCCCGAGTGATACAAGATATCGATGTCGTAATCTTTGAGTAACTCAAGCCATCTTCTCTGCCTCAGATTCAGCTCCTTCTGTTTGAAAATATATTGAAGGCTCTTATGGTCCATGAATATATCCACATGGACCCCATAAAGGTAATGACACCAAATCTTCAATGCAAATACCACCGCTGCAAGTTCTAAGTCATGTGTTGGATAATATTTTTCGTGATTCTTGAGTTGCCTAGAAGCATAAGCTATAACCTTGCCATGTTGCATTAATACACACCTAAGCCTAATTCTTGAAGCATCACAATATACCACAAATCCGTATGCACCCTATGGTAAGGTCAACACCGGTGCCATAGTCAATCTTGCTTTCAATTCCTGAAAACTCCTTTCACAAGCATCTGACCATTGGAACTTACTCGCCT